GCCCTGCCCCATGCTTGCACTTACTCGATGCTGAGCTGTCCCTGGAGCAGACCGCTGCCCTCCACCAACAGCACACAGTCCTCCACTCTCTCCAAGAGGGGATTGACCACCATCACTTCCACCCCAACTGCTGTCCCCACCATGGCTGGACCGAGCACCTAGAGGGGCAACATTCATGAGCCACCTCCCTGCTCCCCACATCACCTCCCCGGGAACCCATGGTCTTCACCTTTATTCCTCGACTCCACATGTCCATTATCTTATCCATCCCCCTCCCTTCACATGGCTCCTCCCCACCTTTGACAGTTGAAACTGCAGTTAAAAGCACACAACCTCCAGCTTCTGATGCCCTCCCCAGCTCTGAAGAGGGCCTGCTGGGCACAGGGTGGTGGGATGAGAACCTTGATGGTGATGAAGTCCTCCAGAATAATGTCCTTCTCTACTAGGAGCTTCTCTCCTTTGTTGATGAAGCACATGGCAGCCAACAGGATCTTCTTGTCCTCTGTCAAGTCTTCCTTATACTGAGAGTAAGATACTGTGACTGAGATCTTTTTCTCTGTAAGGGAAAGCAGAGGTGGGAGTCAGGGGTCTGATGTTCTTCAGTGGTATCCAGAAGAAGGGAGGAAACAATTAACGACCACATCATCTCTGGTCCTTGCAATCATCTTGAGACAGGCACTATTATCCTCAGTGATAGTTGAAGAAGGCTGAGGCTTGGAAAGGGGATTCCTTGTCCAAAATCATATAGCAAGTAAATTAAGGAGCCAAGATGAGGGGGATTAAAATTCAGACCAGTCAAGTACCATGATACCAGATAATTGATCCAAGAGCTACCTGAGTAGTCTAAACTTTCCCTAGTAATTCAAGGTGGAAATCTCTCAGTCCATCAATCATTTATCCCCTCAAGAACTCACTGTTTATTGAGTACTTACTATGTGCCAGACACAGAGCAGAGGGAGGCCAAAGGCTTACCTCAACCTTCCAACCCAGTGAAGGAGGTCAACTTCCTCTCAGCTTCTCTAAATTTTCCCCTCCATGAAGGCCCAGTCCCTGTCAGCCCCACCAACTGTGGAGGACCCCTCCTGATCCCCTGACCCAGTGATCTCATGTCTCCTGTCCTCTAAGCTCCTGTGATCCTGGCCATCTCTCTCGCCCTCTCATCAGCCACAAACACCTTGCCTGTGTATTCTCTTCCAGTGGTCATGGGTCACTACTATTATAAACCCTATGTGACTCTTAGTCATATATATATGTTATGTGCCATCAAGTTGGACCCGACTCATAGTGACCCCTCCTTGGGTTGCCGAGGCAGTATCAGTACGGAAGTAGATTGCCCAAACTTCCTTCTGAGGAGTGGCTGGTGGGTTTGAACCACTAGCCTTCTGGTTAGCAGTCAAGTAAGTGCCTTAGGCACTATGCTACCAGAGCTCCTCATATATATATATATATATATATGTATGTGTGTGTGTGTATATATATATATATATGCATATATACATATATAAATCTTTATATACATATGCATATATACGTATTTATTTATACAATTATAATTTCTTATATACCTTTAAGTACAATGTGTCCCTCTGTTTCTCCCCAGGCTCTACCATTCCCTACTGTCCTACTACCACTGGTTCCTTTATTTCTGCTTCCTTCCTGCCTCTTAGGAGCTCTGGTGGTGTAGTGCCTAAGGCATTCGACTGCTAACCAGAAAGTTGGTGGTTCAAACCCACCAGCCACTGCTTGGAAGGAAGGTTGAGCAATCTACTTCCATAGTGATACCGCCTCAGAAACCCAAGGAGGGGTCGCTATGAGTCGGGTCCGACTCGACGGCAGTGGGTTTCCTGCCTCTTAAGCCATCTGAGTTTCCAGCCTGCGTACTAGGTCCTTGAAGAGCAATGACCTGGCTCACACTCTCTGTTCCAGGGCTTTGTACCTAAATAGTGCTTCCTGAAGGCCAGTAGGATGATGCAGGTATTAAAGTCTTACCTGGTTTTATGGGCTCCCTTAGTCCAGTAAGTCATTGCTGGGAGAATCCTTACAACAACAGCAATAATTAATAATTATAAAGCTAACTTTTACTGAGGGTTTAAAGTGTGCTGGGCATTGGAAGCATGTTGCATACAATACCTCATTTAATCCTCACAACGACTCCACAAGTATCATTACTGCCAATTTATAATAATATTAATAATACAATTGTCATGATCAAATGTGCACTAGGGGGTAGATAATGAGATAAAACCTTTATATATGTTCTAGCATTTACTCCTTGTAACAATCCATGGCTCTCAAAGTGTGTTCCTGTGTCCAGCAGCACCAGCATCACCAGGAACTTGTTAGAAGTACAAGTTCTCTGGCCCCATCCCACACCTGCTGAATCAGAAACTTGTGGGGTAGGGCCCAGCAATCTGTGTTTTGAAGCCCTGCACATGATGCTGATGCAGGTAAGGTCTGAGAACCACTGAGGTAGAAACAGTCATATCCACTTTACAGATGACAAGTTTGAGGCTTAGAGATTAAAGGAAGCAGCCCCAGGCCACTCAGTCTTCCTAACAACCTCTGTGCTGTGACAGTGGAAGACAATTTCATAGAGTTCCAATCACTTTGTCGACATATTCCAATTTAGGAAACTCCAGTCATATTTCCAGTCTCACTTCTCTGTCCCTTCTTTCTTACCTCTCTACTGAGTCTGAGGGAAAGGTAGAGGCAGGGCAAAGAGAGTGCTTGGCAAGCAGGGGAAATGAGGGCCTGTTTCTGGCATGCTTAGTCCAGGGGAATGAAATAGCAGTGTTTCTCAAACTGCATCAGAACCACCTGGTTCTGGCTTATTACCATACAGTTTCCTGGTCCTCTTGCCTGGAGATTCCAATCTGTGGGGCTAGTTGAGGTCTATATCATGCTGACATCCTTAAAGAGGTTTTTAGGGACATTAGACTAAACTATGCACTACGTATTTTCAAAATCACACCACAAAAGTTGGAATTCATCAAAATTCAGAACTATGCTTCAAAAGACTCCACTAATAGAATGAAAAGACAAGCCACAGACCAGGAAAATATATTTGCAAATCACCTATCTTATAAAGGATTTGGATCCAGAGTATATACCTAATAATAAGAAGAAGAGAAGAAAAGTAACCAATCCAGTTTTAAAAAAATTAGCAAAATATTTGAGCAGGCAATTCCCAAAGAAGATACATGGATGGCAAATAAGCATATGAAAAGATCACAACATCATTAATCATTAATCATTATGGATATGCAAATTAAAACCACAATAAGATACCACTACAGGTCATGCATTGTGTAATATCCATGATATGTTCTGTGAAATAGGGTGTTATGTGATTTAGATGTGCAAACACCATATTATATACAGGTAGTCATTGGGTTATGAACGTCTAACATACAACCCTGATATGTACAACCCATAGTTATGAACCAATCCCTGTAAAACCTATTATATTAAAAATTCAAGGTACATACGTTGGGTTGTAATAATAAACAGGTGCTTCTTTGTGACATGCATCCAAACATTATTACAGTGTTATTATGTTAAAGATGTTTTAGTATATCTGGAAGTGTTTTGTTAATTTTTTATGCATAGAAAGGCACACTATATACTATATACAAAGACAAACATTTGAGTAGCTGACATTAGATATAAACTATGCAGAACTGTTCCAATTTACATACAAATTTGACTTAAGACAGACTTAGGAATGGAACTCGTTTGTGATCCAGGCACTGCCTGTACTTTGCAAAGCTATGTGGGATACCGTAATGGACCTTTATTGAGTAAATAAACAAGATACTATACACATATAGTACTATATTTCAGCTAATGTATCTGTCAAGGTAATATGGGGCTAAGTAGCTTAATACTGTATAATGCTGTATACACAATATAATCCAAAAACAAACTCATTGTTGAGGTGATTCTGACTCATAGCAAACCCATAGAACAGAGTAGAAGTGCTCCACTAGGTTTCTGAGACTGTAAATCTTTATAGGAGCAGACGGTCACATCTTTCTTCCATGGAGCAGCTGGTGGGTTTGAACCGTCGTCATTTTAGTTAGCAGCCTGACAAGTGCTTTAACCACTGCACCACCAGGGTTTCTACATAATATAATACATTGTAGATATACACGACTATATACGTAGGCTAACATGTAATCTGTGCTTACTACAACTGGAGCTTGCAGGGCTATCTTAGTGTTGGGTGAGTTTGGAGGCTGTTGCTGGTACAGTTCTGTACTGTACAAGATACTGAACTTACGCTAAATTACTGTATGTGCACTGTCATACACTATCATACAGTAAAGTTGTATGTACAATTAATACTTATTTTACTTCTCTAAACTAATCTTAGTCTACTTTGCAAGCTCTTTTATTTTCAAATGTTTTAATTTTTTATTTCATTTTAAAGTTTTTGATTTTTTTTAACTTTTTTTTTTGTAAACACTTTCTTAGCCTTTATCACACAATTTAACAAAGAGGATCGGAATCATCCACATCACTGCTCTCAACTTCCTCAACATATTCCACCGGAAGAGTTTCCAGTCGAATAAGCTCCATTGATGAAATGTCACCAACAGTGATAATATCATCTCCTGCAATGCCTGAAGGGCCTGGCTGAGTCTCTTCTTGGGCATGTTTTGGCTTCTTCTGGTATATGTCCAGTGTTGTTGGCCTAGTTCGTTTTTTCTTCTCTTTGCAAATGTCTTTATGTGCTGCAAACACTGCATAAGCATTCCTCCGTATCAGTGAAAGGTGTTCAGTGTTTTGGTCCATCTCTTCAGCATTCTTCAGCAAGCTCAAGAACTACCTCAATGGATAGATGGGTGGACAGATGTTGGACAGGCTGAACTAGTAGGTATGTCTATGAAGCGGGGAGTGTACCCAGGAACATGTATAGGGTTGGCAGACAATGGTCCTATAAGTTTATGTGAATGATCTGAATTTCCAGGTGTATAGTAGAGCTGACAAGAGGCAAGGTTATAGTCACTGCTTGGTCACAGCCAGCTACCCAGAAGAACCGAGTAGTTGAACCTGTGGGCTTGGGACCATAGTTGCAGGGGACATCAAGCTTAATTGGCATAACATACT